CCCGGTGGGAGTGCCTCTGGCTGGCCCCCGTGCCCTTCCTGGGGTGGGGGGTGGGGGGCTGACCCACCTGGGGGGCCGGAGCCGCTCAGGCTTTGCCCCCAGCCAGCAGAGTGGGAGACAGCAAGCATGGCATGATGAAGTTTCGGGAGGAGAGGAACCTGCTGGGGCTTGGCCTGAGCACCGGCTTCCACGACCGCTACTTCATCCTCAACCACGCCTGCCTGCGCCTCTACAAGGAAGTCAGGGTGAGCCCTGCCTGTCCCCTGCCCGTCCTGCCTGTCCTGCCCCTTCCCTGCCTGTCCTGCCCATCCCCTGCCTTCACTTCCATTCTGCCTTCACTTTCCTTCTGAGCTGTGCCATAGTGTGACCCTGTGCAAGGAGTCCTTGAGGACATGGGACCCATGTGGGCTGGAATCAAATGGGCACTGAAGGCAGCGATGGGGTTGGCATTTCACGGGCATTGGAGGCAGTGATGGGGTTGGCATCACATTGGGATTGCAGACAGTGATGGGGTTGGTATCTCATGGGCACTGCAGACAGCAATGGGGTTGGCATCTCATGGGCATTGCAGGCAGTTCTGAGGTGGGCATCTCATGGGCAGCAATGGGTCCAACCCCAGCAGTGCCAGGGGTCTCCCAGACCTGGAACTTTCCTGGATCAGGTCCGCAACCAGCTCCTGAGGGCTTGGCAGGGGGACACAGCACTCCAGACATGCTGGGACACCAGCTCCCAACTGCACTGCCCCTGCTCTGCCCCCACACCCTGGCCCCTCACTGGCTCTAACATTTGCCCATGGGCTGCCAGGAGGTTGGTCTCTTCTTGTCCATCCTCCACCTCTGGAATCATTTGGTTTGGAAGAAACCTTTCAGATCACGGAGATCATGATCCTGGGCAGCCTGTCACAGCCCTGAACAACCCTCAGGGGCAAGAAATTGTTCCTCAGGGCCAACCTCAACCTCCCCTGGGGCAACTTGAGGATCCTTTCCTCTTGTCCTGTCATTTGTTACCATGATGCTGAGGAGGGGTGTGATGTGGGCATCTCCATGGGGGGGCATCTAGTGCCAAGCTCTCGAGACCCTATCACAACAGGCCAGTACTGGTCCCAGCTCTGCAGACAACTGGCACCATCTCTGGGGGGTCCCGCTGAAGGGACAGGCCTCCTGTGTCCCCTTGCCTCTACCTGTGGCCTTTGCCACCCATGTGGGCACCCACTCTGCCCTTGGCCTTGGCAAGCTCAGAGCTGGGCTGAGCCCTTTCCCCATCACCACAGCCCTACAGCTTCTCCTCCCTGTCTGCTGGGGGCACAGAACCCCGCCTGGCATCGCTGGGGGCTCCCGCGGGAGGGGACAGGTGACAAAAGGTCTGGTGGTGGTGGCCCTGCAGCCCCAAACTGGTGCTGGGTCCCTCTCCCTGCAGAGCCACAAGCCAGAGAAGGAGTGGCCTGTCAGGAACTTGAAGGTCTACCTGGGCATGAAGAAGAAGCTTCGGCCCCCGACATGGTGAGAAGCAATGTGGTGGCCTCCTGGGGTAGGGACTGGGATGGGGATGGAGATGGGGACAAGGCTGAGGGTGGAGACGGGGATGGGGAAGGGCATGGGGATAGAGGTGGATGTGGGGAGGTGGAGGTGGAGGTGGGGATGAAGGTAGGGACAGGGATGTGGATAGGGGTGGAGATGGAGATGAGAATGGGAATGGAGATGGAGAGGGGAATGGAGATGGAGATGAAGACAGGAGTTGGGGACGGAGATGGAGACAGTGGTGGTTGAGATGAAGATGGGGCCAGGGATGGCAACGGGTGGCCGCTGGGACACGGCTCCTGCTGGCAGTGCCTCTTGCCACCAGATGTCAGAGCAGCCCCGCGGGACGCGCCGGCAGCGGGAGGGGGGCGTGTGGGGGGGCGTGGTGCTGTTGGTGTGGGAGCAGGACACGGGTCAGGTCAGCCTGGGGAGGGGGTGTGTGTGTGAGCATGGCAGCACGTGTGTGTCTGTGACACCCTGTGTGCACTGCCACTGGCTGGG